ACACACACACACACACACACACACACACACACACACACACACTTTACCACTGAGTCCCAGCCCCAACCCAAACACTCAACTTTTTAGCTTTTTGCAGTACTGACATACAATCTTCCTTATAAACCCTCTGCTTTTTATAGCATGAGCAAACTAGACCCAGAGACAGAATGTGACTGCCCAAGATCACATAGGTATTTAGCTCTAAATCCAAGAATAGTTATTGGTCTATCTAAGCCTCAGCATTTCACTCTTTGAGGCTACTAAAACTGGGAAGTTTAGCTTGACTTTGTAAGAAGATAGGAAAGGGTGTTCTATATTCTTTAATAATAGTTATTATTAAGAAACTTTGAAAATAACTTTTAGCCAACCTAACCACGGTGAGTAAATAAACTTCCTTTATGTTGGAAGTTGGACTTCTCCAAAGTAGGTTAGGGGACTTTGGAGGTCATCCTTGTTTAGAGAGCTATCACAATGAGATGTTTACTCCTACCTGCCCCCTTTAAAATCATGTTCTTTCTCATGATTCCTGAAACCTGGGACTTGTGATTTCATGAGATTTATGGGGTCTAGAATAAGGCTATTCACCTGTTAAAGACTCAGCATTGCTATATATAGTAGGTTGAGCCTCACTCTCTTCTGTGTGGGTGTTTGGATATTATGGGAATGGATGACATCACTATGCCACATTGGATTTTCTTTGCTACCCTATCTTCTCTCTCCAAGGTACCGGAGTCTGAAACAGTTTAACGTGGATATCTGCCAGACTTGCTTCTTGACAGGCAGAGCCAGTAAAGGGAACAAGCTGCACTACCCCATCATGGAGTATTACACTCCAGTAAGGAGACTTTGGGCCAGGTGGGAGGGGTAGGCACCTCTTAGGCTTTGTTGCACTTTGCCCAGCTCTGGCTCACAGGAGTCTGCGGTCCTGGGGGAGCATTCTCCAAACAGTAGTGATTCACAGGTTTGGGGGATTCAGGCCTCACTTTTCTTACAGTGGAGCTTCTCTCTCAGCAGGGACACAATTGACCCAGGGCACTCTTAGCCCTTTAAAGGGCATTCGCTATTTTACCACAGAGAAAAGTCCCAGGAAACAAACAGCAAGGCAGTTCCGGGTGTCTCCCTTTGCCTTGCTCCCTTGAGTTTTCCTGGTTAGCTTCTTGGACTGCTCCTGTACTGAATCATTGCATTGGATCTATCACTGCTACCTTGTCAGTGTTTCTACCCCTTCTAGTCGATACCAAAGTTTGTGCTCAAATTACTCAGTCCGTCAGAGGGAAACAGGGATGGTTTTCTACTTGGACTCACAAATTCTACTTGGTTTTCACAGGCAACCATCACTTCACAGCCAGCCAGCTTGATCAGCATCCCTGAACTCAGCCACAGGATTGCTCCTGTGCTGTATTCAGATGCACAGCTCCATGCATAGCTTCCTGAGCTACATTCTTCAATGTATTTTTGTAAAGTTTTTAAAACATTTTAAATTACTTTTATTTTATGTGTATGAGTGTATTGCATGCATGTGTGTAAGTGCACCTGTGTCATGAAATGCCAGTGAAGGTCAGAAGAGGGCATCAGATTCCCTCGAACTAGAGTTATGCACAATTGTTAGCCACCATGGAGGTGCTGGGATTTGAACCTGGTCCTCTGCAAGAACAGCCAGTGCTCTTAACCACTGAGCCATCTCTCCAGCCCCCTTAAAGTTCTTTTGATTTGTTTTTATTTTATGTGTATAAGTGTTTTGCTTGTACGTATGTAAGTGCGTCATGTGTCTGCAAGCTTTCAGAGCCCAGAAGAGGGCTTCAAATCTCCTGGAACTGGAGTTACAGAGGGTTGTTAACTGTCGTGTGGGTTCTGGGAACTGAACCTAGGTCCTCTGCAAGAGCAGCCAGTGCTCTTTACTGAGCCATCTCTCCAGCTCCTCCCTCGATGTCTTTGTCCTTCCCTTTCTCCTAAGATTCTCCCAGTATCCCAAGCACACTACAACGTTTTAAATTTTCTTTTTAATTTTTTTGACAGTTTCACACATAAGTATTGTATTTATATCATTTCTACCTCTCCCTCTCATCCTCCAACTCTTTCCATACTCCCTCCCTCTTAAGTTTCTTTCCAACCCTACCTCTCCATTTTTCAACCTGTTTCTCCACAATCCACTTTTCCAAGTTGTTATCTTCAAATATTTTGGCATAGAAATGTGTGACCCACTGGGAGCACAAGCCATGCCCTTTATTATCACTTTAAAAAGCATTATAGGGGCTGGAGAGATGGCTCAGTGGTTAAGAGCACTGGCTGCTCTTGCAGAGGACCTGGGTTTGACTCCCAGCACCCATATGGTGGCTAACAAACATCCATAACTCTAATTCCAAGGAATCCAATGCCCTCTTCTGACCTCCGTAGGCATTGCAGGACATGGATGCACTTATATCCAGGCAATGCACTCATACACAGAAAATAAAAATAATAAATAAAATGTTTTTTAAAAATAAAAAGCATTATAAAAGTCAAACAGAAAACTGTTGGTAAGCTGATAATGCTCTGCCTCCTTTTCATCTGTTGTATTCCTAAAATTTATAGAAAAATGCTGGGCATTGTGGCATATGTCTTTAATCCCAGCACTTGGGAGGCAGAGGCAGGTGGATCTCGGTGAGTTCAAGGCCAGCCTGGTCTACATAGTGAACTCCAGGCCAGCTGGGACTATAGGGAGACCCTGTCTAGAAAAAAGAAAAGAAAAAAAAAAGAAAGAAAAAAAAAAGAAAGAAAAAAAAAAGAAAATGGCCGGCAGGATGACTCAGTGGGTAAAGACACGTATTGCCAAGCTGATGTCTTGAGTTTGATCCCCAGAACCTACATAGTAGAAGAAGATAACCAACTCTTGCAAGTTGTCTTCTGACCTCCATTTGTGTCACACACACACACACACACACACACACACACACACACACAAAGCAAGCAAGAAATAATGATAAAAACAATTTATAAGAAAGATATTGTTTTTTGAGACAGGGTCTTCCAGTAGTCCCAGCTGGCCTGTAGCTCACTATGTAGACCAGGCTGTCCTCGAACTCACAGAGATCTGCTTGCCTCTGCCTCCCAAGTGCTGGGATTAAAGGTCTGTGCCACCACACCTGGCTCAAGAAAGATATTTTAAAATCCAGTAAATGCATGCTCATTGTAAAAGATTCAAGTTATGCAGATAGAGGTGTTTATAAAGTATAAAATGAAAGTCTTCCTCCAGTCCAATTCCCAGAGGCAACCAGTGTTCAGAGTTTGGGGTGTATCCTTTAAGACCTTTTTTTACTGGCAGGGTGTGATAGGCACTGACAAGAGTAAGATACTAGTCACACTCTGCTCTAGTGGAAGAGCCACAACACCCCAGAGCATCTGCAAGCAACTAGGGTGACTTCCTCTGTCCTGTCTCCCCCAGACCACATCCAGTGAAAACATGAGGGACTTTGCTACAACTTTAAAGAATAAATTCCGCTCAAAGCAGTATTTCAGCAAACACCCTCAGCGAGGTTATCTGCCTGTGCAATCAGTGCTGGAGGCTGACTGCAGTGAGACGTGAGTACTAGTGTTGGAGCAGGGCCTTCTGGGAAGGGGCTGGGTCCCAAATGAGCTAGGGGGTATTGCCAGGTGAAGACCACCAGTGTCAGGACCATTCGCATGAGTCTGACCTAGACTCTGGCCTGAGAAACAGATTACAGACCACTCTCTGTATATTACTACGATCTCCACAGTGAAGGGCTAGGGGCAGGCTGAGCAGTTGCCTTTGATCCTCTGACTCTTTGCTGCTTTATTTCAGGCCAGCTTCGTCCCCGATGTTGCCACACGCTGACACACACTCTCGGATTGAGCATTTTGCCAGCAGGTACCAGCAACTTTTGGGGAGACTGTAGGAAGTCCAAGGGGAAAGGGACTTTCAGTCAGGAGAATTGAATTGAGGCCAGGGGAGGTACACAGTGAGGTTGTGCAGCACCCAGCAAGACACAACCCTTAGGGGTGGTTGGGGTAGCTCCCCAAGCCAGTGATCCTATTGTGGGATTAGTGTGCTCGCAATGAAAGTAGGCCCCACATCCTGTTTTCTTCCTTATTCCTGCTTTTTCTTTCTAGGCTTGCTGAAATGGAAAGTCAAAATTGTTCCTTCTTTAATGACAGCCTGTCTCCGGATGACAGCATGTGAGTTTTCACAGCTGCTGATTTTCTAAAAATAGTTCTCCTTGGGATCCTCCTGCCACTATTTGGAAAGGTTATATCTTGAAGGGAATGGGTCCTTGATTCCTAAGGAAGGAAGACTGCTTCTTGGGTAGAGCATTTAGTAAAAGAAGCAGCTCTCCCTCTGTCGACTGAGCTGGGGAGTGATTGATGTACTACCTCCTTGCCATCTGCCCAGGCCCCTTCCTATCACAAGATCCCATCCTTCTGTGCCCAACTTCAAGGAAAAAAGGAAATGCCCCTAACTAAAGTTACAGAAAGGAGCCGTTGTCTTTGGCTCCAGATCTAATGGCACACCAACCCTGGGTGAAAACAGACACTTAACTAAAGTGTGGCCTAAGGAAGCCCTGATGCTATAGCACAGAGAGGGAACCTTGCATCTCTAAGGGAGGTCTCTTGCCTGCTCAGAAGGCCTAGGAACGGCTGGCTACATTGATCAGTCTGGCCCTGACTGGGACTCAGATCCCTCTGGGAGGTGAGAACAGGAAGAGAGGTAGCTGGGGAAACAGCGGAGAAACAAAAGTGATTTCCTCATTATGTCCTAGGGAGCTAGAAACTTCAGCATCCTGGAAAGATTCTCTCAGTACTCTCAGACATTACCTCTTTGTAGCCTTCTATGACTCCAAAGCCTGACTCCTTCTTTGTGTGACTTAAAACTGATTGGCATGTATCTCTTGGGGCTGGAGCTAGGATCTGAGAACTCACTCCCTGAGCTATTTTTCTGTTTAATGCCTGGTCACGTCCTTTCCTCTTCCTACACACATGCAGAGATGAAGACCAGTATCTGTTGCGGCACTCCAGCCCCATCACAGACCGAGAGCCACCCTTTGGACAGCAGACTCCGTGCAGCATGGCCACAGAAAGCAAAGGGGAGCTAGAGAAGATCCTGGCCCATTTAGAAGATGAGAACCGGTAGGTTTGGCCAGTGAATACATTTGTGTGGGTTTTAGAGGCAAGAGTTTAAATCCTGGTACTTCATGTATTAGGTGTGCAACCTTGAGCAAGTTACTTAGATCCTGTGATCTTCCATTTCCTCATCTGTAAAATGGGGATAGTGATAATGATACCAACTTCCCAGGGTCACTTGTGAAGACCAAATGAAATCAAGTACATAATGTGTTGTCTAGTGCCTGGCTTATAGTAAGGGTTAACTGACGCTAGCTCTTATAATAATTATTGAGTCCTAATATAACCATAACTTTTCTAAGTACCTACAAGATGCAGGTAGGGAGAGACCAACAGAATGCAGAAGAAAGTATAGCATGTCTCAAAGAGCTTCCTGTGCTGGAACTAGAAACGGGTACTTACCACCTAGTGAAGTAATCCAGAGGATTATGACATTACATACAGCATTTCAGCACCAAAGAGAGAAAGGGCCAGGGATGGCCTTAATCTCCACAAAATGAGTGGTTAGCAGTGCCTGAGGAAGGTCAGAGGTTCTTTGAGGAAAGGGTGAGCCTCTTAAAGCAGTGCTTTGCGAGCACTAGATAGTATAGGAGTCACCTGGGGAGTTTCAAAAATACAAATCCTGACTCCCAGGAGTGGAGAGGCGGTATCATTGTTTCTAATCAGCTCCCAGGGCATCCATGCCATTGGTCCACATACCACACTTGTAGTAGCAAGTCTTTAGGACAGTGCTCCTCAAATTGTGGAGTGGAGATAAGGACCAGTTTGCAGAGTGTGTGTCACTGGTCCGGGAGAGATAAATACATGAATAGAAAATAAACTTAGAAACTTTTCAAGCAATTTGACCATATCAAGATATCCAATCACATAATGAGTGGACCCATCACATTGACTAGCCTAGAGACCAGTTTGAGTCTTTAACACTATGCCTAGGCGCAATAACCACACTATTTACCGCAATATGTGCTCTTACACAAAACGATATCAAAAAAATTGTAGCATTCTCCACCTCAAGCCAACTAGGCTTAATATTTGTTACCCTGGGGATTAATCAACCACACCTAGCATTTCTTCACATCTGCACCCACGCCTTCTTCAAAGCCATACTATTCATGTGCTCTGGGTCAATCATTCATAACCTAAATAATGAACAAGACATCCAAAAAATAGGAGGACTTTTTAAATCCTTACTATTCACTTCATCCTGCTTAACCATCGGAAGCCTCGCACTCACAGGAATACCATTCTTAACAGGTTTCTACTCAAAAGATTTGATTATCGAAACCTTAAACACGTCTAATACCAACACCTGAGCCTTACTAATCACTAGTCACACTAATCGCCACCTCAATAACTGCTGTATACAGCACACGAATCATCTTCTTCGTTGTAATATCTAAACCACACTTCACCCCAACAATCACAATAAACGAAAATAACCCTCAACTTATTAACCCTATTAACCGCCTAGCCCTGGGGAGTATCCTAGCAGGATTTATAATTACCTCAAATCTCCCACCAACTAATATTCCTACAATAACAATACCACTATCACTAAAACTAATAGCCATTACAATTTCTATTTTAGGATTTACAATCGCCATAGACCTAAACAACCTAACCTCACTACTTACACACAAATCACCTACCACCACATATAAATTCACCACACTTCTAGGATTCTTCCCATCAATCATTCACCACTTATTACCTTTGAACTTGTTGGGGAGGGCAATGTGGGGAACTGTGGATGACTCGTGCATGCTAGAACAACATATCATTCTACAATAGAGTGAAATAAGCGCGGGGGGGGGGGTGGCGGGGACCCGACCTACCTAGTTTCTCACTAGGAAGTTTGAGAAACCCTGCATTAAAGCAGCAGGGAGCAGGCCCTGAGCAGTGCTGGGCAGAGAGAGATTCTGTTTGCCAAAACAACAAAGAGTGATGTCCTTAAAAGTAGCCTCTCTCCTTGGAATGTTTCATTGATGACCCAGCATGAACATTCAAAGTGGGCTGTGAAGAGAAGAGGCATGATAGGTAATTTATGTTATGTCTCTCTCAGAATCTAAAAATCTGTAAGTAGACTATGTGAGCCATTGGCACTAATACCTCTTTTATTTGCAGACCATGTTCTTACTTGATTTGAAGGTCAGATTTAATCCCCGAAGCATCAAAGTCCTGAGACATTCCTTACATGAAATGTCAGCTCACTGCTCTGAGGACTCAGGATGGCAGAGTAAATGTCAAATGTGCTGGAGAGGAAGTGGGTGTGGCCATTCCAGCAGAGCGCGCTGGGGTTGGGCTAGCAGAGCACAGGGACCACTTACAGCTGGAAATGAGGGGCCATATGGGATCTGGATAGCCAGCTGGCCCTGTTGAAGCCCTAGGTCTTGGCCTCCGTGTCCTTGGCAGGATTCTCCAGGGAGAGCTGAGGCGCCTGAAATGGCAGCATGAGGAAGCAGCTGAGGTGCCCACTCTGGCTGAGGGCTCCACTGAGGCAGCACCAGACCACCGCAATGAAGAGCTTCTGGCTGAAGCCAGGATCCTCCGGCAGCACAAGAGCCGCCTGGAGACACGTATGCAGATCCTTGAAGACCACAACAAGCAATTAGAGTCTCAGCTGCAGCGACTGAGGGAACTGCTCCTGCAGGTGAGGCTGGAGATAAAGACCCAGAGCAGCCCTGGGTTCAGGAGGAAGGCTAGCAGTGCCAGGCCTGCAGCAAAGCGTAGAAAGGAGCCCCTTAGCTGTGGCTGTCAGGTGACTTCTTGAAGAGAGCTGAACTACAATTGGGGTGAGGGGACGAAGAAGCAAGAGGGCGGTATGAGTACATCCTTGTTCTAGCTTGATCCTCCATTGCTGTGACAAAACACTGACAAATACCAACTTGGGGAGGAAAGGCTTTATTTGTCTTACATCTCCTGGGACACAGTTCATCAGGGAGTCCAAGGTAGGAACTCAGGGCAGGAACCTGGAGGCAGGAGCTGGAGCACAGGCCATGGAGGAACACTGCTTACTGGCTTGCTCCCCTGGCCCATGCTCAACCTGCTTTCTTATACAACATAGGTCTACCTGCCCAGGGGTGACACCACCTGGACCCTCCCACATCACTCACAATCAAGAAAATTCCCCCACAAACGTGACCAGGCTGGTTCAATGGAGGCAATTCCCCAATCGAGGCTCCCTCAACCCAGGTGTGTCAAGTTGACACTAAAGCTATCAGCACAATCCTTAACCAGTTCTCTTCCAGTTCACTTCCATACAACCTTTGGGTGTCATTCTCAAGCTACGCAGGGTCTGGAGGCAGAAGGAAGAATTCTAAGAACTTGTTTTTTCACAACCCATTGGAATCTGGTATTATAAGAACAAATTTCTAGAAGCATCAGCTCAGTTGGTAAAGAGCTTGTCCTGCAGCAGGCATGAGGACTTGAGTTCAATGTCCAGAACCCATGTAAAAGAAACTGGGTGCGATGGCACACATTTGTAATCCCAATGCTGGGGAGCTGGAGACAGAGGATTTCCAGGCTTGGTGGCAGTCTTACATCTCCCAGGTCGCATGCAGTTCATCAGGGAGCCCAAGGTAGGAACTCAGGGCAGGAACCTGGAGGCAGGAGCTGGAGCACAGGCCATGGAGGAACGCTGCTTACAGGTTTGCTCCCTTGGCTCCTGTTCAGCCTGCTTTCTTATGCAACACAGGCCCACCTGCCCAGGGGTGGCACCACCCACAGTGGGCTGGGCCCTCCCACATCACTCATCAAGAAGATGCCCTTCAGACATGGCCACAGGCCAGTCCAATAGAGGAAATTCCCCAATTGAGGCTCCCTCAACCCAGGTGTGTCAAGTTGACACTAAAGCTATCCAGCACACATGTACACCTGCACGTACATAAACATGCACACAGACACACACTGGTGCACGCGCGTGCGCACACACACACACACACACAAAGTCCAAAACGTTTTTTTTTGTGTGTGGCATTTTCACGTTTGGACATGTTTGGCAAGAGAAACATTTTTTCAATAAAGGGCTCTTCTGTCACTTCTTGACCTTTTTGTCTCTGGGAGCTCATGCAGCTCTGTAGTCAGACAGCCCTGGGTTTGAATACAGCTCTGCCAGTTAGTGACTGTATGGTGTTTGGAAAGTTACTTAACCTTACCCAGCCCCAGTTCTCTTTATCTATAAAACAGAGATCATTATAATACCAACTAAGTAAAACATTTAAAGCAAAACAATGGGGCTGGAGAGTTTGGTCAGTGGTTCAGAGCACTTGTTGCTCTTCCAGAGGACCAGAGTTCAGTTCCTAGCACCTATGTTGGGCAGTTTACAACCTCCAGTAACTCAGCTCTAGGGGATCCAATGCCTTCTTCTGACCTCTGTGAGTACCCACACACATGTGACATACATTCATATGACACATACACATAAATAAAAATAAAAATAAATCTTGTTTTTGAAGGGCTGGCAAGAAGACTCAGCCGGGAAAGTGCTTGTCATGCAAGCCTGATACACTGAGTTTGATCCCTGGGACCCACATAAAGGTGGAAGGAGAGAACTGACTATACAAAGTTGTCTTCTGGCTTCCACATGCATTGTGTAACATGCACATGCCCACACATATCACATACATACATACACAATAATAATAAATAAAAAATTAAAAAATTATACCACCAATTTCATAGAATTGTAGTCATTTAAATTAAGATAATGCATTTATAAAATTCAGCACAATGTCCGGAAATAATACAGTCATCATAAATGTTAACTACATTGTCATCACATGTAACATGCAATGGCACCCGCTCACTACCCCACATACCTGTTCTCTGAATCCTCCAAGGGATAGTCTTTTAAAAAAAAAAAAAAAGTCAATTTTAAGTTAGCATGCAAAGCAGTGTGTTTCATCGTGGAATTTTCATACATATGTGCCATTATACTTTGCTCCCATCCATTTCCCTCCCCAGTTACCCTTGCCCCCACCCAGATGATTCCCTTCCTTCCCCCAGTCAGTCCCCCAATCTGCTTTTTGTTTTATTGTTGTTTTTGATTCAGCATCTCCCTGTAGCCCCAGCTGGCCTGGAACTTGCTATGTAGACTAGACTGGCCTCGATCTCATAGAGATCTGCCTACCTCTATCTCCTGAGGGCTTGGATTAAAGGTGTGTGCCACCACACCTGTCTAGGCAGTCTGCTTTCTTTTCTAAAAATTATTATTATTATTATTATTTAATTTTATGTGTATGAGTGTATTGCCTGCATGTGCGTAAGTGCACCTGTGTCATGCAGTGCCCACAGAGGTCAGAAGAGGGTGTCCAATCCCCTGGAACTGGGGTTATAGGCATGTGGGTGCTGGCACTTGAACCCTCTACAAGAGCAGCCAGTGCTCTTAACCTTACTGAACCATCTCCCGAGCCCTGCATTCTGCTTTTCTACGTTGTGTAATTTCATTGCCTTCTCTATTTCAAGAAACAGTTCTTAATGAATTCCTAGTTTTCTTTTTCAAATATTTTATTATTTTTATTTTATGTGTATGAATGCATTGCCTGCATGCATGTAAGTGCATATGTGTCATGCAATGTCCGTGGACTTCAGAAGAAGGCATCGGATCCCCTGGACCTGGAGTTGTGGACATTGTTAGCCACCGTGTGGATGCTGGGAATCCAACTCAGGTCCTCTGCAAGAGCAGTTATTGCTCTCAACTGCTGAGCTATCTCTCTAGCCCTGAGGGTTTTTTTTGTTTCATTTTGTTTTTGTTTTGGTCTGTTTTGAGACAGGGTCTCCCTGTAGCCCCAGCTGGCCTGGAACTCACTATGTAGACCAGAATGGCCTTGAACCCACAGAGATTTGCCTGCCTCTGCCTCTTGAGTGCTGCTGAGTTTTCTAATATATGTGGTTATGTTACAAACTAAGGATCAGGTGTGCAACTCTGAAATTCCAGAGAAAATTGGGTTCTAAATAGCTTAATTATAGCTGAAATGACAGCAAGAGACTTTTGGATGCATTGCCATCCTTATAAGGACGGGCAATGTTTGACACATGTTGTTGAAGGAAGAATTTAATTGATAACTAAATAGTCAAAGAGGTTTCTTAAAGTGGAAAGCCACTGTTCAGGGCACTGTGAGAAGCTTCTTAAAGACCCAGGGCAAAGGGATGGGCATGAGGTCTCCAAGTCCTTTTCTAAGCCTAGGAGTCTAAGAATGAGGTCAAGCCACTTAAACCACGTCTCACCTCTTGCTAGCCACCCAGTGAATCAGATGGCAATGGCTCTGCAGGCTCGTCCCTAGCTTCCTCTCCACAGCAATCAGAAGGTAGTCACCCTCGGGAGAAGGGACGGACTACTCCAGACACGGAAGCTGCAGGTAAGGTCTGCTGCCCCATCTAGCCCCTTCCTCTAGGGATTTGTCCTACCCCAGTCTTCCTGCCCAATGTTCTATTAGAGCTGAGATTAATTTCTCCTCATGGTTTTGAGCTTAGGGTTGAGAATAATTTGTTTATTAACCGTTTCTTTCAGATGTTTCTTCTAAAAATGTGTAGTGAGCACCTCCTACATACTAGGCATTCCAAAGGGAGGATGCAATCCTCTGGGCCCACTACTCAGCCAGCAGCATCTGACCTTGTCCTACTGGCTTCTTTCCTATACAGGAATCTCAAGTTCTCTTTCGAAATCTCTCTATCTCTCTCTCTCTCTCTCTCTCTCTCTCTCCCAACCTAGATGATGTGGGGTCAAAGAGCCAGGATGTCAGTCTGTGCTTTATACAGATCTCTATTGCTCTCTCTAAATCTCTCTCTCTCTCTCTCTCTCTCTCTCTCTCTCTCTCTCTCTCTCTCTCTCTCTCTCCCAACCTAGATGATGTGGGGTCAAAGAGCCAGGATGTCAGTCTGTGCTTGGAGGACATTATGGAGAAACTCCGCCATGCCTTCCCCAGTGTGCGAAGCTCTGGTGTGACTACCAACACCCTGCTGGCCTCTTGATGGAGTCAGATCCCCATCCTGTAGTCCACAGTCCTCTCCTGGTTCTTGTCAGTGTCTTCCCTCAGCTTTTGTCCAACTTTCCCACTCCCAACTGGCCCCAAATTCCTCAACCAGAGATATGTGGGCTTGGGCAACAACAGGGATCTGATGGTATGTGAGGTGAAGTGGGGAAATCAGGTGGGAAGGAAAAGTGTGATTCTTCTGACTCTAGAATTGTGTCCGTCAGTCCTCATGTTTGTACTTGTCCTTGTGTTGCCCAGCTGTTGTAGCCCAGACAAATGATACTTGTCCATCCAAATGAGGAGCAGAGAATTGTCTTGCAGAGCTAAGCAGTGTCCACTGGCCCCCTGCCTTTCTTCATGGAATCATGGAGAGGGAGAAGCCTTTTGGCCCCAGGGTATCTGCATTCTGAATCCCCAGAGCTTAGTCCTAGTCTTTGTCCCAGTTGAGGGAGGCAAATGGGTAACCCTGAGATACTCCTTCAAAGTGCCCATGAAGAAGTCTGGACAGTGTGTCCTATTATTTCAGCTCCAGGACCTAGTTCTAGCCTTCTGAAGTCTACCTACATGTTGTTTTCCCCTCCAGCATCTTTAATTCCTTCTGCTACAGTCCCTGGCAGACATTTTTTGATGGGAAAACAAGTCATTGTGGGCACATGTCCACCTTACATTTGAAAACATTAAAGAAACACTTGTGGGTTTATATTTTTCTCCCGATCCTCCTCTTTCCTAAAGGCCTCGGCATCCCAAGAGACTCACAGAGATGCTCTGGAAACCCAGCTGAAGTCTCTCTTTGGTCTTCCAAGTCTGTCCTCACAGAGCTGGGGGAGGAGTGACAGCTTTTTCAGCAAGGGGACCTTATTGTCCCTCCTTGGGTGAGAAAGAAGACACCCTCTCCTGGAGAACTTTTCCTGCCTGACACTCTCCAGGTTATAGCCCTTCTACCTTAGCCTAGATCAGGTGAAGTGGCTTATTGCCCCCAGCTATTCATAGGACAGTTACAACTGACCACCCTGAATAGTGGTACCTTCCTAGGAGCTACTATCCATGAATCTGAAAGCTGGCCACATTCCATCCAGACAGCAGCAAGGCCTTTCTGTACATAAAACTATTTCTAAGTCTGAAAGGTGACTCCAACCCTCAAAATGAACTTACTCTTCCTGGGCAACATACACCATGACTCCTTTGTCTAGCAACTGTTCAAAGTAGAGAATGGGGGTGGGAGGAGTGAGTATGGGAACCTGGACCAAAAACATAGCCCACTTAGACTGCTTTCTACAGAGAGGAGCTTTTTCCCCACACCCCTGCAATCGACTTAATTTGCCTGAGTTCATATACATGCATATCTATTCTACATATTTACTGTACATCAGTGCTCTCACAGCCTCACGCACACATTAAATTCTAGTACCGCTTGAAGAATTAATGTTCTGCCTTGATATTTGTTAGTCTCAGCCTCTGACTGGAAAGATAAATGCATCCTGGATGTTCCCCTAGATTGTCTCTCTTCATTGATATTTGAGATGAGCTGACCTTAAGACCAAAGCAACAGAAGTGTGTGGTCGCAGAGCCATCTAACAGGAATAGTCATTTTGTCTCTTATTGCAGACCTTGTTCCATTGAGACCGGGGCCTTAGGTGAATTTACCTGGCCATCCCTAACCAATGTTTCAGGTAGCAAAATAGGGTACATCTAAGCTGTAAACAACCCATGCAGAAAAGAAGGAACAAAAGTTATATGTTAACCACAGAATACATCCTCTGGTCTGTATCAGTTCCTAAGGTCTGGATCAAGGCCTTGAAGAAAGCAGTGGGTGCTACCAAGGTCAGGATGGATTGAAACTATTAGAGTGTTGTGTTATAAACAAGCCATGGTCAGCAGATGAAACAGCTGGGCACCTAAACTGATCTATTCCAGGGAGGTAAGGCAACAGCTTGAGTCTAGAAGTCAAGACTGCCTCCTCCCCAACCTTATCACAACATATGACTCAGTATTTGGTGAGGTCTCTGGGCAGGAGAACTGGCTATCTTCATGCATGGTGAGCATTTTGATAGACAGGTATCAAACATGGAACTAGGTCATCAATCAGAGTGAGGCATTTGTGTAGGGACCTAGATTATAGACAGGATTCAGATAAAAGAAATTTATTGCAGGACAGGAAACTCAGAAACTTTTAAATATGTGCCTGCCTATGCCTTCGGAGTGCAAAAACTGTGGAATAACCTTATATCAGGAGAATCCTTTCTTTCACCTCCACCCTACCCAACAGCTCTTAGGCTGTTGAGGGTCTGTGATAACTGCATTGGGCCAAGCATGGGGGGGAAAGATGTAGATCTTGTTATGTAGGATTTGTGTTGGAGGTAGTCCAAAGCAGCAGGTTAAGACTGAATTCTCACTAAGGGAGTCACTGGCAATTTGTGATCTTGTGTTTACCTGTAATGCCTGAGGTGAGTATACTGCTTAAGGGCACAGTGGCAGTCATGGCTACATGTGTGGGCAGTCTACCTGAAGTGAGGAAAATGGCTCCTTGGGCACTGTGAGTCCACACTGGGGTTGAATGTAGGAAAATATGTTCTATGTTGTTGGATATGTTATGTATTATGTCTCCTACAGGAGTGATGTGTAATGTATGACTCTGTACTGGAAGGTGGAGAAGGAGTTTCTGGGTTGGTAGTCTAAGGAAAACCTGACTTGTGGGATTAGCATCAGCCATGAGGAATGTGTTTGCTGGAGTTGTCAAATAGTGCAGGCAATTTATTCTTGACAGAATTCGATGGAGGAAAGTCAGCCATTAGGAGGTACCTGTGCTTCCAGCTAGAACAGAGTAGATTCACAGTGACTGGAATTGTTTGGGAAGGCTGACTGGCTAGAGGACATGAGGCTCTGATACAGCTCCCTAGAGTTTTTCATCCAGGAGTGCATGTACCCTCCCCTTTAAAATGCAAAAGCTGGAATCAAGGCTCAAATGTTTCTTTCAAGGCCCAAAGTCAGGCAGTCCTTCCCTATGGAGAAACCTGTTTAAGTTTCAGGTGTTTCAGGAACTGGCCTGACAGGCCACCATAAGAAGAAACCAAGGGACAAGGCAGAATCCAAGCCTGCTAGATCTTTTCGCACCAGATTAATTTTAAGGAATACCCTTGCTTCCTGGGATATGTGTTTAAAAGGGTTTAGAGTTTCCGTGCCCAGCTTTAGCTTGGAGTGTTCTTTGAACTCGCAGTTTCAATGGCAGAGTTATGGCCTTTGGGACCGCTTCTGGTCAGTTATTCATGCAACTTCGCTTGGTGTAGTTGATAGATAACCAACATAGTAGTTGCCTTAACATGAACAGTCCTGGGAAAGAACGTGGGGGCATCGCCCTAGGGCTATTAAAACAGCCCCCCGGCTGGGCAGCCCTATCTTTGGGCTTCCCTGCCAAATCCTGGCACATGACACAATGATTCCTTACTGTTTTACCACCAATGACTCTGGGAGAGGGAAAGACTTAAGGCCAGGTCTCCTTTCCCAGTGTCCTTTTCCCACAGCTGCCATACCAGGAAAGAGACCTGCTGAATGTCCTTGCTGTCCCCATGGCAGTATTAAGGGCAGACTGAAGCCTGCTATGCTGCTTGCTGCCCACAAGAACTGCTCACAGGATGGGAATTAGAGAAGGGATTTGGGGGGAGGTTTCCAGGGTGGCATGCAAACGTGCAGAAGTTGGGGACGAAGGGTTGGGACTGGGAGCAAATGGGTTAACTTCAATTGCCACTCACTGTGGTGCTTTTCCCATTTTCCTTGAATTCTGCTTTGAAAAGAATAAATTTGTATTTGTTTACTTTGGTTCCTCTGGTTATTCTGATTATGCTATTCCATACCTTTCCCTTATTTGAGGGTGGGAAGAGAAGAAGATGGATCAAGAGTCCACAGGAACACTGCAAAACAGGCCACTGTTACCTGGATTGGTGACCCCTCAAGTACCCCATTCCAAAAGGGAGAACTTCCCTCAGGGGATGAGGTCTGTGTAGTAATGATTCATAACTTTTATCCTCATCAACCTGAGGAATTTTCTAAGCAGGTAAAGCAATATAAGAAAAATCAGGGCACTGAAATTATATTTATTTAATTAAAATTAAAGTTTATCCTTTATTCTGAGATTATGGCTGTGTGTATTTTGAAGTTAAAATGTTGCCATTTTATTTTAGTTTTCTTTAATGTTGTTTCATGACAGAATAAAGCTCTGTTAGTTCTTCCCCATCACCGACTTTTCTTCCCTTGCCAGTCAATAATAATATTATTCAGTAGGAATACATGCCACATATATAAGTTTACATTTTCTAGCACATCTAAAAAGTAGGGTAAATTAATTTTAGTGTTTTAGCAGACTCAACAGATACTATCTGTTTGGCTATTAGTTGATAATATTATTTATTATCAATTAAAGAATTATTGGACTACTTTACTTTTTTCTAGTCTTCAGAGTTGCCAGGATGTCAGCTGGTAAAAACAAAAAGAAACAAGATACCCAGACAGATACAATTTATTACTTATAGAGAGAGCAAAAACAGAATTAGTAGTGGTATAAGCTCCCTGGGTCCTTTTGTCCCGAATGATGATGCAGAAATTCTAAGGGTCATATGACATGTAACATGAAGGGTGTAGATCCCCTGGGGTTGAGTAGCCAATTCTATACTGTAGCTGAGCAGTTCTCTGGCCTAACAATGACCCCATCAGGCAGAAAGATTTATACCCTATGAGAATGATAAAGGCAGATGAGAAACTGCATCATGGTAACCTCCTTTGGGAGGCAAGGGAGAAACAGTGTTGTAGCCACTTTCACAAGGCTACCTATCTTCACAAGTTCTGAGGTCACAAGGTGTTTTGCCAAGACCCGAGTCAGCTTGTGGCTGAGCTTTATCTATATGACTCACAAAGATAGTGCAAGATTGGCAAGGTGTCAGCATCCAGCAGTTCCCCAATAGAAATCCAATGTACAGTATATATGTACACGCATCTCAATTAGGACTAGCTATGTATTCGGTGCTCAAAAGCCACACATGGCTAGGAGATACCCTATTAGAGAGCACATATCTGTAATGTGAAGCAATCACTAAGCCATGGTGTCTTAGTTGTTTCTCCATTGCTGTGACAAAACACTCTGACCAAAACCAACTTGGGGAGGAAAGGGTTTATTCAGCTTACATCTCCCAGGTCGCAGTTCATCAGGGAGCCCAAGGTAGGAACTCAGGGCAGGAACCTGGAAGCAGGAGCTGGAGCACAGGCCATGGAGGAATGCTGCTTACTGGCTTGCTCTCCTGGCCCCTGCTCAGCCTGCTTTCTTATACAACACAGGCCCACCTGCCCAGGGGTGGCACCACCCACAGTGGGCTGGGCCCTCCCGCATCACTCAATAATCAAGAAAATGCCCCACAGACACGGCCAAAGGCCAGTCCAATAGAGGCAATTCCCCAACTGAGGATTCCTCAACCCAGGTGTGTCAAGTTGACACTAAAGCTATCCAGCATACACGGCAAAGGAAAACTTCATGAGGTATTAGTGTGCATATACATCAGAGTTCATGTGTATATGTGTGTGTCAAGGTTGGAGAGTCACAGCAGCAAAAGCTTTGTGATAAGGACAGTGGTAAAACACTCCCCAGGGGTTGCATTGAGAACTGGCACTACAGGATATAGAAGAGCACTCAAGATGTACTAATTTTTCTTTGTCCCTTTGTGTTATCTGCTCTACTACCCTGCCTCTCAGCAGAGTTCTGGTCGCTTAAGCTACAGTATTGGACAGAGGCCAGATGAGGGGCCTTCTACCTCTCCTGTGTGCCACCCTCAGTGCCTCAGCCTGACTAGCAACGTGCTCTTTAGATCTTTCTGTTGCCGTCCTCTGCCTTGGTTTACCTGGAAGACCTATCTTCCATTCAAACTCAACCTCTTTGTCTACTTTCTGCCTTAACACATAATTCTTTCCCCCGTTATCTTTCTCTTTATTCACAGCTTTTAAGTTCTAGGTTCTGGGAAAAAAAGTTTACATCATTTTTGTTTTTCTCTCCTAATCTCAGCTTTATTTTCTTTGGACATGCTTGTTTTGTTTTGTTTTTAACAGGCCACCTAGAACTCACTATATAGACCAGGCTAGCCTCGATCTCACAGAGATCTACCTGCCTCTGCCTCCCAAGGACTGGGATTAAAGGCACGCACCACCATGCCTGGCATTGCTTATGCTCTTTAGTCCTACTTCTTTCCACACGTTCCCCTCAGCATTCCTGCTGTCTTCACCCCACTTTCCCAGGCCCCACCCATGTATACTGTCTTCGTCTTCTCTTCCCACTGCTTATTTTGACTTGGATAGAGCATTATAAGTGCTGCAGAGAACCTAGGTGTACATTTCTTAGAGCAGCACTCACTGTTTTTCCATTAGTGCCTGACCTGGGACTAGCTGGGATACTTCCAGAAAACCCCAAGGGGCATCTTGGTGATAAACATTATCACCTTTGATAAGAGGTGTAGAACCTACCCAGAGTGGTATTACAATCCTGTATTCATTCTACTACCATAATTCAGTTGAGACTGTGGAGCTACCATTAGTGGTAATTCTCTGTCTCCTCTCTCCACAGCCCAGTGTTATGTAGTTACAGTAGGTGGCTTGCTTCCCTCCCAAGACACAGACTGTTTTGTAGCCTAAGAATTTTTTGGAAGGATACTCTAGTAGTGATGGTATCTTCCCATTTCCTAATCCCCAAATGCTACAGTGTAAATGCATACACCAAAAATTTATATGTTAAAATATCACCTACAATGTGGTGGTCTTAACATGTGGGGTTTTTAAGTGGTGACTAGTTCATGAAGGCCTGATTACCAAGACCTGAGGGAGCTTTTTTGCCCCTTCTTCCATGTAAAGATGCTCAATAAGTCACCATTTGTTGGGCTGGTGAGATGGCTCAGTGAGTTAAGGCACTTGCTGCTAAGCCTGACAACCTGAGTTTGATCCCCCAGATCCACGTGGTGGAAAGAGAGAACTGACTTTTCCAAACTGTCGTCTGACTTCCACCCATGCGTGCATGTGTGTGGCAGCACACTCACACACACTAAGTAGATAGATAGACAGACAGATTAAATAAATAAATAAAATGTAATTTAAAAAAAGAAGTCATGCGGGCTGGAGAGATGACTCAGTGGTTAAGAGCACTGACTGCTCTTGCAGAGGACCCAGGTTCGATTCCCAGAACCCACATGGCAGCTAATAACTGTCAATTCCAGGGGATCCGATGCCTTCTTCTGACCTCTGCAGGCATTGCACGACATGGGTTCATTTACACATGTGCAGGCAATACACTCATACACATAAAAATATTTTTTTAAAGCAAAGAAGTCATGGGACCAGAGAGATGGTTCTGCAGTTAAGAGCACTAGCTGTTCTTGCAGAGAACCTGGGTTCAAATTCCAGCACCCACATGATGGCTAACAACCGTCTATAACTCCAGTTGCAGGGGATCCACCTTCCTCTTCTGTCCTCCACAGGCACTGTATGACAAGGTAGAGAACTGACTTCTCCAAATTGTCCTCTGACTTCCACCCATCGTGGACCATGCAGGCATAACACTCATACACATAAAATAAAAATAATGTGACCATTAATGGATTCGTACAGGTCTGTAAGCTGCATCTTTATGTCCGGTGGCCAGGTTGCCATATCATCTTTAAGGCAGATATATATATATATATATATATATATATATACAGTTCTATGGCACTCTGGGATAGAATGCACCTATTGGTGCCTTAATATTAGATTTGTTATTCTTCAAGAGTTTGAGCAATAAATTTATATTATTTATAAATTACTCAAGTTTTAATATTTTTGTTACATTTGCTGGAATGAACCAAGACAAAGTTTACTGATTTTTTAAAAATATGAACCTGCTTATTGTGAACAGAGTTTAATAAACTGAGAGCATTTAGGGCGCTAAGGTTTAGCTTAGTAACACAGTACTTTCCTAGCATGTGCAAAGCCTTGGGGTTTGACCATCAGCACCACCAAAAAAACTAGCAAAAATCTGTTTAAAAGAAACTATTTATTTATTTATTTATTTTTGCTTAAAGAACACACACCAAAAATTCATAACAAAATAGCTTAAATCACCCTAAGTAATCTGGGGTGTGAAGGAAGTCTTCATAGGCATTATAGCAATCTAATTTTTCTAGTCCTTTCTAATGGGGGTTACAATTGGGAGACTTAGAATAAGGGTAATGTCTTTGCTCTAACTGTTCTCTTAGCTAAATAACAACAACCAGCTACAGCCCTAAAAACACAATACTATAACAAAGGTACATAGCAAGAAATCATCCCTGAGTAGGAAAGAGATCTTTTACCTGAATGGAGAACAGGACACAACCTAATATTAATTGATGAGATATAGGCACTTAATTATGACAGAGCCTACTTCATAGAAATTAGGGTGAATTATTTTGTTTTGATCTCTCTCTCTCTCTCTCTCTCTCTCTGTCCTTTGTTTTGGTTTTGGTTGGTTGTTTTTTGAGCCAAGGTCTCATTTTGTGGCCCAGGTTGGCCTTGAATTTGTAAGCCATCAGTTTCTGTCTTTCTACTGTTGGGATTACAGGAATGTGCTACCATGCCTGACAAATCAATTATTTTCTACATTGGAAATACTTAAAATGGAGTTTAGGAAAGCTAATATATGCAAAACAGCTATGCAGTCTTCTATGCCACCCCATCTTCTGCAAGCATGACTGAAGGAACTCATAGAACCATGAATACATGTAAAATTCTCAAACTGACAAAGAGAAACAACGTTGAGAAACTCATGTTGAGTGGGGTCTTTAAACGGATCATATAGTTTC